GTCCAGGATAGACTGTAGTTTCGACCTCGTATGGGCGTCATCTTCTGTCCTTCCATCCATTGGTACCAGTGGCTATCTAGTAGAGTGGCAACGCCGCCACGATACGCACGACAAGTGTTCGAGTCCCGCTAGGTTGTGCCAACATTTCAGTCCATTCCAACCTAGCCGGGAGGAGATAAACTGTTGGAAGTAACGATTGGGGAGAATTTATTGTCATCCTGAAGCCTACTCATCCAATTGGGCAAAAGTACACAAATATCAGTCCTTAACTCGCCTTAGATAACCTAGGGGGGAATAATTTCCTATTCAATCATATTTTAACGCGAACAAGCTTAATGGAATTTTGATGTCTGCTTCCATGCTGCCTTGTCTAGTTTGGAGCAACTGGGCTTTCAGAGACACAACAGCTTTAAACTTAAGCTGTTCATGATAGAGCGACTTGGTGCCTCTTCCATAGCGGAGGGCATTCGAATTCAGCCAGATTTTACAGCCAAAATAGGGCTGGTACCATACCACTCGGCCGCATTGCTCCAGCCCAGATCGGTTTTGGGGCCTAGGCTATGTTGAAAGCGGACTGGAAAGTTAAGATATGTTCCACCAAGGCGAGGGCAATAGAAGTAGCGGTAAAAACAACGTCGTCAATTCCACAGTCGAGCTAGATTTAGTCATCTTTTATTGTTTAGCCCAAGTCCATTCACCGACAGTAAGGGCGAATTCGGTCTACTTTTCAGCCAGACCATCGAGGCTACGTGAACGCTGAACCTCTGCTACTCGCCACGAAGCTCGATACTTCGGCCATCCCCGGTGCCACTTCCAACACGGCGGCAAATGGGGGAGACACGGTATCGAGTGGGACGGTTACAATGGCGCCGTGGAGCCCTCTGTTCGTGAAGCCATCACAACCGCTTCTTTTGTTCGAACCCTCGGCGAGCTGCGAACGCTTCCACGACCGATCATACGGTGCTACTTCTCATGAATCAGCCGGTCTGATCCACATGGAAACGATGCCCAGCCTAAAGAGCCAATCGCTTTACTCTTCCAAAATGGATGAACGACTTTCAAGCACCTGCAGACGATCGAATAGGTAAATCTGTCTGTTCGTGTTTTTAGACACTTTGCTAATTATAAAATAATGCATTCACAGATTGTAAACATGGTGTAGTTTTCACCAATTTTGTCCGAACTAAAACAACAAGACTTAATGAATCAGAGATGTTCCAAAATATGAAGTAATATTAACGTGCTCAGATAATTTCCAGTCGCGAATGCTTTTAAGCTGATGAGAATATTCAAAATGCGTTATTTTACGTTGCTCTTTTGCCTTTGGAAGTGTCATTTTTAGATATAAACTATAATTTATTCGTCTGGAGAATAGTTTATTGCAGATTAGTAGTGATTAAGATAGTTAATTTATACAATATCTGCCAATTGGGAAGCATTCACATGACAGACGTCACATAAATAAATAAGAGAAATGCAAATTATGTTGCGTTCAATATTGCTAATAGCCGAGAAAATCCGTTTGATGCTATTATAAACTTATATTATATACTAGTCACTCATCCAATTTCCGGGACAGTAGTATCAGCACAAATAGTATTTTATTTTGTCAATGTATTTGCTTTTAATCTGAAAAATGTTAACTAATTCATCTTTCATTGAATGGTTTTTATTGCAATTCAGTTGATTGATAATATTCCACGTTCTGAATGCATGCTTTAGTCGAGATGGAATTCAATTCATTCAAATATCCCCAGTATAAAAAATAAAAAGAATGCTTTGCTTTATAATATTTTAAATATATCACATTTTCCGGCTATTTGAGCCGTAAATCACAAAAGTGCCTTTATCTCATTTTTTCGGCAACTACATCTCAACTCTCACAAACCACATTTCACCGACCTGTGTATCTGGTGCATGTACCTAATTCAGTCGTCCACACCACGAAAGGATACCGAGACTGTTCATATCTGCATTCAGATAGTACTGTGGATCCTGTCCACTTTTCGGATGTTTCATAGTTTCCGGTTTTTTCCTCAACATTTCTGTCTCCGTTTATTAATAACCAACCTTCGGTTCACACCTTCCTTGTTGCCAACCTTTGTTTCTGTGGCAGACTAGACGTAAAACTAAGCGAAAGGGGGCTCGAACCAAGAGCAGCACCAATGTTAAATGCCAGTAGAGCCAAATGTTTCTTGCGTCCTGAGTGCTTGATTCATTTATATATCACAAGCCGGCTATACAGCTTAGGTAGGACAAATTAGTAAGGAATTTCACATTAAGGTCGCTAATGTGTGATTTCTAATTGTTCCCGGAAATTGCGCCACAGGCTACGTTGAACGAAGTATGGCTACTTAACCTGATCAGATAAAATAGATTGAGTCATAAAGTAGCATGTACAGAACAGAATTAGTTACAAGCGAAGAGGATGAGTGCAAAAAAAGGTACTGATGTAGGATTAAAAAGCAAGATGTCGGCATGAATAATGACGGTGAAAAACCTGACGCACAGAAGTTGGGAATCGGTTGCCGTGTGGAAGACAAAGAGGCCCGAGGTAATAGTCAATCATATTCAGATAGGAAAAGAAGCTGGGTTTTGGAGATTTTCTTAATAGATTACTACTGACATACCTTTAATTTCGTTCGTTTCTTAGTTTAGTGTTTTTTGGTGATTGTTCATAAACAATGATTTCTGGCTCTGACGGCGTTCGTCACAGGACAGGAAAAAGCTCAACACAGGGTTGCTTGACGGTCAGCCGAAGTATTCTTCGCAAAATCGAATAGCCACAATTCCTAGGCAACCATAATTCCGTGTCCGATGCGGCCAATTCACGAATTCCTTCCACCAGCCTTTTAAAATGAAATGAAAGATGTGCTTGCATCATTCAGATTCAGAGGTTTTTCTGGTTAAAAACGCTTGACCAATTAGAATGCCTTTCTCTAATTCGTTCAAAGGGTCCCGATCTGAGGGGTTCAGAGTTAGGCCCGATAAAGGAGCCGACAAGGCCGGAATGCGGGTGAGTCATATTCACAAGTGGTCACTGTGTGAGTGGGCTGAGAGATGGCTGTGTATGTAATGCACATGAAGTCTAATCTCATGAGATTACATTGTTGTGGAGAATTACATTTCGTAAGAAAATCCAAGAGACATGTTTCCACGTTAAGAGGGAAAACGGGCTTAGCTTTCGTCCATCATATGACGAAGATCATCAGAGCTGAAACTCGGTAATGCAAAAGTCGCAAGTTAACACCATACCAAGACGGCTGCTCGGCTATATCTTATGCTCATGGATAAAAAACGTAAAGGTATGAACTAGTGGTTCCCAAACTTTTCCTAGTCGCGGCGCCCTTTTTCAATTAAAATTTTTACATGGCGCTCTACACTAAGTATGTCTATTCGTAAGTAAGAAATAAAAATAAATAAAACTCGTGTATATTCATTATTGTATACTTTATTACCACTATATTAATATTTAATAATTAATGTAATGGATGAGCCTGCCAATCACTGCACATTTTATCAAATTGAAGTGCCCCTGTGAAGAGACCGTGGCTCCCCGGGGCGCCGCGGCGCACATTTTGGTATAAACTATCTATCACCGTTCCTCGGCCACATCGTATTCCCTAATCTATTAATTTAAAAAGCCTCGTTCATCTTTCTTTTGACGAGAAACGTACCATCCTCATTTGCAGCCATTCTTTATCGTGAACAATCCCTGGCCTGCCTGTTCGACTACTTCCCACCGTTCAATTAAACTTAATTTTGTGTTCCCTCATTCTTTATAGAATAGGCCGACATGTATCACCAACATAAGATCGACTGCAGTAGCACACAATCTCGTCGCAGCCAGATCTCGATAATGGGTCATATTTCTCTTCAAAAGAAAGCATAACCGAAGAAATCTTTAGGGTTTCTTTGAACACCGTTTTTATCCACCACTTTCCCACTAGTTCGCCTAACCCCTCAGAAAGAAGTCATGACGGCACAATCAGGATGTGTGAAGATGCTTCCGCTTCTCTATCTTTGACCAAATAGTCATCTACTGAAAATTTATTTTTTATTAAGGAGATATTATTCTCAATTTTACCTAAATGATAATTATGTCCAAGGAATACATTTTCCAAATGTTCCAACTCTTTAGCCAAGCGGTTGCTATCTACAAGTCTCATACTCCTAATATGCATTGACTTCAAAATGCCAACCTTAGTTTTGTGTCTATAGCTAGAAAGACAATTCAGAAAAGAGCTCACATACGTTGGCTTCCTATAAACATCTCTTCCTAACCTAGCCTCTTCTATAATGATCAAAAGATGCAAAAAAGTTAAAAACGACTGTTTAGCCCATCTTCACTCGAAGCGAGGCAGGATTTTCGTGGACTGCGTCAACCTGCACGTTGAGTTAGAGCCGAACGGTTGCAATACGTCGAGAATCGGCCGTCGTCTTTTGGTGAGATCGACCCTCATCATCCGCTGCCATACGAAATGGAAGTCTTCGCAACAATTTTATCTCAGAAGATTCATCGAAACCCAGTTATTCTTCGTATTAACAGTCTTCTAGGAATATAGAAAAATGCTTTATTTTATAGTTGAATTTCTCCCTCTGGGATTACCGGTTATGATCTGCAGTCTCAACATTGCATCAACCTCCGCCTTTTCAATACCCTCTGATGATGCGCACTTTGTACATTGGAAATTTGTCCACTCAGGCTTGTGAACGCCCACAAACATTGAAACTTTGGGTTTCATTCCATCACATTTATTCGTGAATTTCTTTGGCCATTTTACTTTATCCGAGGTCGCATGGCTTCTTGTCGACTTTAGAATTCCTGGTCTTCACATTGCATAGTGTCCTTAGTACAATTCGGCATCAAACTTGGTTCATTCATCACAGTAAACAATCTTGCTATGATGGGGAAATTTTAAAATGAGGTACTTTGATCCGTCATTACTTCGATTTTAGATGTTTGCTTACAAGCTTATTTTTTGCATTGTTAGGGGGACCTTCATTTCGAATGTAAGTGCATGAAAAAGAGATTCAATGGTCGATCTCACCAGATGAGGACGGATGAATCTCGTTGTACTGCAGCCGTTTGGCTTTTATACAATATTCATGTTGACGCCGTCCACGAGACTTCCTCCCTCGTTTCGGGTGAAAAAGTGCTGAGCTTTCGTCCATAATATGATGGACATCATCAGAGCTGGGTGTCATTCTTGTAAAAGTCTCACATTAAAAC